ATAAAGATGGTTCATTGATTTAAGAAGCAATTCAGAGAAAGAGGATGGCTAATAAATGAAAACTTAATATGAAATTATGAAAATCTCATTTATTATGGTTATGTCTTTTGTCTAAAATCTCATTAAGTCACAAATAAGGAAGATTAGATTTTCGTATTCTTTGTAACCCAAGTTTGAATCATCTTGAAATTTCTAAACAATCGAAATTTACGAGATAATAGAAATACCAATATTATTGGAATTCTTAGAAATTACTTGTTCTAACGTGCTTAGAATAATTTTTAGATAAAGTATAAATGAATCAATTACGAAACTAATTTACAAACATATAATTAATGAAAGAAATTTAAACAAACAAACAAACAGAGTCGATATTCGACGGGAAATATTTATGCAGAAATTTAATATGTATGTTGATTTAAACATAAATAAAACTGGATTGCAGTACAAACGTGTTTTACATATCGCTAATCAAAAAATGTAAGTGAGTCATGTCATTTTACTAGAACAGTTTAACTTCAGTCTATGACTATCGTTTTACCTGGGGGCGTTCGTGGTAGTTGTTTTTAAATCGCTTTTTTTTGCTGGTTCGAATCCCGACAGGATCTTTACGCAAAAAAGCCTTGTATTTAGTTTACAGAACGTCGGTGCTTTTACTCAGTTTGGTGCCTGAATTAAATAAATGCACGAAGAATCATCTGAGGGTTTTCTCCATAAAACCTAAAAATAAGTAAATCAAGCAATTGTAATTTAACCCAACATTTTGCCTTAACAGGCGCTGCCTCTACAGTTTTAACAGGACACGATATACTGTATGACTACCAATTGTCCCGTGTTACGAATGACAGTCAATAAAGGATATTGATGATCAAAACAAAATATGTAATAACGTCAAAAAGAGTGGCGCCAAATGACTTTAACTGTCTATTTTTAGAAACCAATCGTTAATGATATTACGATTTCTAGAGTACTAGTCGACTAATCAAAAATAATATTACATTAACAGAAACATTATGTGTTATTTATAGATTCAGACACAGTTTTATTCTGTGAAAATACATTGATAAACTAAAAACGTTTCGTGAACCTTTACCAGCTTTAAAATGGTCGCGGGTGCCTAAAATATAAATACAACTTCTACCCTTTCTGTCTACTTACGTAGGGCTTTTTTGTCGTGGAAAAGGAATCTGACAACTTAAAAAAGTTACCAAATGATACATTTTATTTAGGTCATTTAATAAAACAGTTATTGTATGAAGATTTCCGTGAATATCCAAGTATATGGGTATTCACCTCATCGTCATACAAAAATTTAATACAATCATTATAGCAGCATGCAATATATCGTGTTTCGCCAGAAATTGTCATTTAATATTATTATATAATAGTGAAATAAAACATTATTTACACTTTCTTGACAGTAATTTTGTACAATAAAAATCAGAGAAATTAAAAAAAGTTGCAATTGCAATAAAATAAAATTAAAAAACTCATTGTTTCCTGCTATTCACAAAAAATAGGATAGAATAGTTTAACACTTTCCCAGTTTGCATATAAAAGCTCTATTTTGTTTCGATTTAGATTTGTAAAACAATAACATAAAAATAATAATAAATTTCTAAACCAAACCTTTTTATGTGAATATATTAATTTAGTACAAAGTGAATTTTAAACTTAAAGTGAAAAAAGACAACACAAATTTCAATATCAATACATGTTTTGCTTTATTAGCTTAAAGTGTGTAAGAATATATATCTGCTGCAAAAATATTGTTTCATTTAAAAAAGAATACTTCAAAAATAAGGGTATGAAATAAATATACATGTACTAGTATATTTCTTCTAATGCCGAATGGCGCATGCACAAAATCATTGCTAACCGGTTAAAAAAACATCTTAAAATAGCAGCATACAATTTTGTTTCCATTATTTTATTCTGTTTACGAACAGTATTCATGTCTGTTAAATAACTGAGATATTTTATGATAAAACTTTTTCAAGAAACGATAATTAGATTAGAAAAACAATATAATGTGTACTGTAAAAAGATTTATAAAAAAACATTCTTAAGATATAGGTTATATCCTTTAAGATACAGAAGAAACGCTTAAAAATATTTGATGACTTTTCAAACATTACAAAGGAAACAGCTTACATAAATCAAATGAAATGTTATGATGTTTTACAAAACATAGCATTCCGAACGCAGTGACCCGATGTATATTAAGTTTATATATTGCCTGATATATTACAGTCAATAACTTCAAAGGAACAATTTCGCTGTCTCATCTTGATCAAGTGCTTAATTCCATCTCGACAATCAAGTTTGTGTTCTTACAAATGTTGAATTGATAAACAGATTATAAAAAAACAAAGCTTAAACCAGAAAATATAACAACACTGAAGTGAAGTACGGGGCAACTTTTAACAGCTGCCACACGGCACTTGACACCTGCTGTTGTGAAGTATAAAATTCTGGAAACAAAGTGATCCCTCGGAAGCATTAATCACATCAAAATTACGTAAGAATTGCAGACTCGGTTTGATTGAGTCTGTACATGAGGGATAATGAATAAGTGCAACATCCCTCACGCCCCCTAGCACCGGCTTGCGCGATACTCAATTGTAAAAGAGCGGTACTCAATTCTCAACACTCAAAAACTGTTCGCTTCATAAAAAAAAATTTCCGGTGCCACTGCCATAAAAATTCAGTGCAACATTGTTCGCATTATTAAAAAATACCTTTCGTTGCCACTTTCATGAAACAAACAGACAGACACTTTACAAAGACAGCATTGATTCCACATTGATATAAAAAGAAATAATGGTATTATTAACTCGAAATCGTTTAAGGTCAGTAAGAAATCGAATGCTTGAAATTGAACATACATTGCACAAGAATGATAGTAGTAAAGCGTACACTACTCCAATATATTTTATTATTAAGAATGACGTTGTTTTGTTTCAATCAAGTGATACCGCTATTTTTAAGTGGAAAGAAAATATGTAATAACATTATATAAGTCAGAAACACAATAAGATAATTTATTTCAATCTGAAATTTCAAAAAAATATATATATTTGTATCAACAGAAACTATGGGAGCTGTATTTATAGCAAAAGACGTTTTTATTCTTTTTAAAAGGATCGATCGTTTAGTTTTAAAATGTCTTGAAAAACAGGGCTTTTGTGTTCCAAAATAATTTATTTTTGTTCTTAAAGGAATGTGCATACTTAATTTCATTTCTGTAAATAGATTTTGCTGTCTCCATCTGTTATGGCCAACAAAAACTTCTTAAAGATATTCTAATTCATTTTTCATCTTTTTTCGTTACTCGGATGATTAAATGGATTTGAACTAGCCCTTTTTATTTAGTTACCTTAAGTGAATGCATTTTTCTTCGTCGAATAAGGAAAGTTTCAATGATCTGAGCAAAGCTGTGATTCTATTTTAGTGTATGACAAAACAAATGCCATTAATTGTGTAGGTTAGATTGTCTTTTGGACTACAGCTTCAAGTATTTCAATTCATCATGAAATGAAAAAAAACTCTTTTTATTCATTCAAAACTATTTTATGTTTGTTGGGTTTTACACAGCACAAACAAATTAGAGCAATCTCCTACGCAGTGATCTCCCCTTATCAGTACAAAGATCTCTGCCACCACAAACATTTTTATCAATATTTTGACATTTTATAGTTTTAGCTTTTGAATTTATTTTTCATCATTTTTTTTATACTTTTGATATATTTTTGATAAACATAACGAACGTAGGTACGAAAAATAGAAATAAAACAGAAAGAGAAAAATTACGTTAGATTTTTGATGAAACGGTCGATATTTACATTTGAATTTGAATTTCGACGTTACGTCATGTGACTTTCATCAACATGTGACTTCTGCGAAGGCAGAGATTAAAATCTGCAAAAGGAAGTAATCACTGTTAGGAGTTTGAAATAAGAGGTGATACAGCGACTTACCAGCTTCACCGTAGATGCCTCTCTGTGCATTATTTCAGACAGAACTTGAGTAGAACTACGGAAACAGAATAAGTGAATTTGTTTTAATCTTAAATTTTAGAATTAAAACATTTGCATTAGGAGAAACCATAAGAGGACACACAATTAAGACTTAATCTACTAATTTTAAATAGCGTAAACAACGCTTGTGTGTTTCAAAATAGTTCGTTACTTTTGTTTTCAAATGTTATTCAAATACTCGGTGTAATTGGGGTAATATATTAGTTTGTTTTGATTGGCAAAATGCATTGATATAGTTGTAACTTCTTGGAATCTATACACTTATTATGTTGAAATGGCTGTAAAGATTAAGCCTGTAAAGATTAAGCCAATCCTATTTCATTTACACGTAATCATGTAATCGCATGAAACTTATTACAAATTAAATTAAAATGAATTATATAAGACAGCTATCTGGCAGATAATGTAAGAATAATATGGCGAACTATGTTCAAGCAATGAGAAAGAATATTAATAACCCTAATCATTTGAACATAACGAATGTTGTGAGCAAATCATTTTATTTATTTTCCCAATTATTTACCATAAATGTACGATTGATCAACTCAAAACGTGCACATTGTATGTATCTTTTGAAATAGAAGTTAATAAGCGTCTTAATGTCATAAAGTGATCTTCTTCATAAAAGCGTTGAAAAAGTTAGTAAATAAATCCTATATACTAGTACATTCAAATTTAATAGATATTAGAAATAAATGCATAAATATATTGGAATAAAATTACAGAGATGTTCTGCCGCCGTGGTTTGTTTGCCTATTCAATTGTTACAGATAATAATATTTGTTTATTAAATGTAGATAAAGTATTTTGTTTTCTAGATTAAATGCAAATATATTGACAAAATATTGTATGCAGCTCTTCACTCACGTTTTGTTTCTTCGAGCAATGGGCAATTAAATCTATATATATATATATATTACGAAATAACCAAATGTTTAGTAAAAACAACAAACGCATATAAAAGCCGTAACTATATATATTATGCAATCATGGTCAAAACAATATAATGCTATTTAGCGATAATTATTTTTTAAGCTCATATGCAAATCAACTGCTTTTTTTTACATCATGACGCCAATTCATGATTACATTTTTATCTTGCCATGTACGGAATTACTACAATTACATTTCCAAGCATGAGTACTAATTCACTTTCTTTTGACATTTCCGCCCAATACAAGTTCTTTTGTATTTCAGCTAAATACATTATTCATTTTAGAACTGACCTACTTAATGACAAGCCGCCTATATCTAATACGTATGATATTGCGTCCTATTTCTTTTAAGTTGAATAATGTCATTATATAAGGGTATGTTGATGGCATAGACAGTCGGCTTTCCTACGCGTTAAAGACATGTTATAGGAGATGAAATGCGTCTTGTATTCTGTTCAGTTACTTCCACTCTCTTTTACGTATTTTAGAAGTGAGCTACGTTTGAAGTAATAGCAATGTGGTCCGTTACAGAAATACCCATTCATCTGGCATGGTTCTGTCCTCTTGTAGATTTTCTATAAAGCAAGGTATATTCCGTGGCAGCGGTTGAAGAATGTAACATCAAAGTGTCACTATTTTGTTGTGAGTTATCGGATACACTGCATGTAAATATTGTTTTAAACTTTCGGCGGTACTTATCACTGAATACACAATAAATAATAGGATTTCCTGCCGAATTAAGATACGCAAGAACAGTTACGCCTACCAGAAACCCCCAGTTTTGATGAAAAGGGGTTGGGGACACAGTGTTATATATAAGAAGTACTTGATGCGGTGAGTAACTAATAAAATAAAGCAGAACGCTTACAACAAGCATTTTGATAACGCCTCGTCGAGTACGGATGGTTTCGGAACATTTTTGAGGCGTCCCGGGGCTATGTCGCACATTTTGTCCGTGTAACTCTTTAATTCCAATAAACAGATGTTTCCCAATTATTACATAGCAGACGATTTGAACGACAAGAGGAACAAAGTAGAACAACATTGCCTCGGTATACTTAAACGCTAAAAACATCCTCATATGATCTGCAGGGAACACTAGAACACAGAACTGTATATCTGTCTCAGTGTTATTGAAACTGGTCACGATATTGAACAACATTGTCGGTACGGACAATACTATTGCTAAAAGCCAAACCATAACGATCACGTAAAGTGTTCGTCGGCGGGTACATACAATATGTGCTTTGATAGGAAACACAATAGCGATGAACCTGAAAATAGACAAAAACACCATCTGATGATAAAAGAAGATAATAAGATTAGATATAAATTTTATGTAGAAATTTTCTTTAACTAAAAAAATTATAAATGTTACAAAACAACAATTTTTCACCAAAATTAGGTGAAAGACCAGATGTTAACATGGAAAAACTAGATCTTGGGTGATTCCTAAGTTTTTTATCATTTTTTGTTAACCCTTTACCTCATATATACGCTAAACACTTTCGACCCCCCCCCCCTTTTTTTAGGCCTGAAATAGTCCTATGAGGGCCCTAAACACATGTTTTCGTTTGAGAAATGTTGCTAAAAAAAGTGAGCACTTTTTCGACGCCGCCCCCCATCCAAAACAAAATTTTGGACTTGTGAGAGGCTAAAAATAACCCCAGGTCAATCATAAGGTAACGTGTAACCAACGCTGAAAAGCCTTTGACTCTATCTCAATCCCTTGAGAAGTTGCAGCACTTTATATTTACAAATAAATTTTGATGGAAAAAAATCGAGGCAAAATAGTGATTTTTGGCAATTTTGAGATGTCCCCTCGTTGCCATGGTAACAGGCAATTTAAGACTGAGCATGTCGTTACAAAGACAATGGTCCAGTCAACATTTGTGCCAAGTTTGATTAGTATTGAAGCATTTTTCATAGTTTCACAGCAGTTTGAACTTGTATCAGGAGGCTTTTCAGTGAAAACGACCATTTTTCACAATATGCTCATGAGGGAAAGGGTTAAGGTTCTAGTATATTGAGACGAAAAATGAAGAAGAAATAAAGGAAACACTTCGAAAAAAATCAATGAACAATTTATGTTCTGTCCAAAAATATCAAATTATGTACATATAATGGCATAATTCAATTTAAATGCCCTTTTTTAAGCTGATCCGAAATGTCTTGTGAAAGGTTAAAGCGGTCGTAAGCTTTCATTTTCTGTTGGAAAACAATTATGTCTTGTTTCAATCTAGGTATGTCAGTAATTTTATCTTTGAAAAATGCATCATATCGGAACGGTAGATTTCAGGTATCGAGGGTTTTTATCTTGTGTTCATTTTCCACCTTAGTTCTTTTAATGAAACGATTTATCTACAAATAACATAATTATATAACCTTTAGAAAAGCTGAAAGCCGCTTTAACTATTCAAAAGAAATTTAGTTAAAACATAAAGTGTTACCTATGATACGATATAAGTTTTTGAATTTCAGAATATTGATAGTAAACTTTTTCATTGTAATGAATAGTAAGGCAAGTTCTTTAAGAATATACTAAACAATACAATAATCAATGTTGATCAATAAACAATTTATAATATCCGAACAGTATCTGTGACTTTATTATAGGTTTATTGAAAATGTTTCCAGCATATATACATTCCACCCTGCTACACATTTATTTATCGAATTTCTATATTTTTCTTTTGGAAATATTTATATAATTAACACTTAAATTTTCATAAAGAATTTATAACATCAGCTCTACGAGCGCATATGCTTTTTACTTAATGACATGTTATTTGGGAGACTATTAACGTAAAAGGCACATTCACTATTATCAGACAATAATGATGTAAATAAGCAGTTATAAATCAATGATTAAATATGTAAGCGTAAAAACAATAGCTCGAAATGTCCCCAAACAGCAATATAGCACTAGTTCAATCACGGATTAGTCCTTATATAGCTTAGATGCATTGAATATTCAATCTCATTTATACAATTACAATAATTAAGATGATTAGAAATAATAAATCTCTACCGAATGCGATAGTTAAGATTTCAAATCGCCAATTTAACTTAATAATATAAAGAACAGTAAAATTAGGCGTTATTGGGATTCTAAAACTGACATCATTTGATTCAATTAAAAAAATACTTGGAGGCATATTACTAAAGTGGTTTGCTTCAAAAACACCTTAAAATGTAGTACCACACTTGGGACATTACAAATACATAAATATGAACATATAGTTTGTATGAATAAGCGGATTTCCTGTAAAGCGTATTTTTCATTGCATCAAAACATTGAATTGTTTTAATTTATTAAAAAGAAAAAAAAGAAACAGCAGGCAAAAGTATGCTACAAAGTGATAAATGAACAACTTAAACGAGACACCATTTCTTGTTTATCAAGAGATGGTTCATGATTTTGTTTATATTGATGTATCGTTAACACGGCAACTGTTGACCCAACGGGACCTAATCTTATCACAAGGTCTGATAAATCCGCAAATGGACATTTTCGTCACGACAACTGTATGCACAATATTGCAGCAAAACGATTAATCTTCTTTTTGGTTTATACAGAATGTATTTTAGTTCGATTGTGTTAGAGTTAGAAGCAAGCTACAAGCTTATAGACACATTTTCAAATCCGGTCCTGGAACCAACCAGTGCTGAGCAATGAGTGTTAAGTTTCTTGCTCAAAGTAACAACGGCTTGCCCCTGACGGGGTTTCAACCCATGCGGCTAGCGATCATTAGATTAATAGTCCGACGTGTTCACCACTCGGCCATGTCGCCACAAATCTCTTACACAAATAACAAAACAAAATAGATATATAAAACGTTAATTAATCAGGATCGTAATTATCGGCAGTTTTGACAAAGGCTGAATTTTAAGAATTTGGATAATACACTTTGATACAATCCGTACAACCTCTGTAGAGCAAAACTCTATTGCAGACAACGATTTTGGTAGCTGCTTAGAGATTTACTCTAGAAAGTATTTTTGTGTGAAGTTTTGGAAACGAAACAACATATATTTACTGTAAATTAATTTCATACAAATATTTCAAAAGATGTAGCTTTATACATTTGAGCCGCGACACGACAAAACCAACATAATGGGTTTGCCACCAGCATGGATCCAGACCAGTCTGCGCATCCGCTCAGTCTGATCAGGATCCATGCTGTTTGCTTACAAACTCTATAACAAGTAGAGAAACTGATAGCGAACAGCATGGATCCTGATCAGACCGCGCGGATGCGCAGGCTGGTCTGGATCCGTGCTGGTCGCAAACACACTATATTGGTTTTGTCATGACACGGCTCATTTTAACATCATTTAAAACCTACATCTGACCTCAAAAGGAGATTTTCCTATTATCTTTATTTCGTGCGAAATTTATAAATATGTTTGACATTTGCATTTCAAGACACATCTTTCGATACATTAATGTTTTGTTTTGTTGTTTCTTTGTTTTTTTTTAATGTTTTTTTTTGTTTTTTTTTTTTGGGGGGGGGGGGCTTAAAGTCGCACCAACAATGTGTTAAAGTCGTATCAGTTTTACTGCTGGATGAATACATCGGATGTCCGTCACTCCTTGCATTATTTCAGGCACAAACGGGCACTTGAGTAGAAACACCTACTTGGATAGGTTCTTAACATAAAAGGTGACATCAATGATTTGTATTGTATACTGTATCGTATAAACTTTAGCATGAGATTTAATATTAATTGTGCAATTATTGTAAAAATAAAAGATCATAATATTCCCCAAAACATTTATTACTCAAAAGTGAATTGGTCTAAAATGGAAGGTCTGTTATACAATCAATGAAAAATCAACTTTGATACTATTTAGTATTAGGCAAACAACAAACCACAATTTAATTATACAAGGAAGTTATTGGCAAGTGCACGTTAGATACATGATTGGATATTACATATATTTAAATAGCAGATAATGTTCTTTAACAAAATATCATTATTCATCATGTAAATCGTCATTAAACATCACTTAAAACTGTATCGACTTGTTTTAGCAACATTTCATATGAATATCCAAATGCCATATTTTATTTTATAAGCATTGATAAAACATTTTGTATGCTCATTTTCTTAGAAATAAGATAAAGGCATTATAAAAACGATAGCAATTTATAAATTGACCAAACCCGAGTGAAAAGAGATTCACAAGAGAAATCTGTTAAGTAAATTACTTAAACTTCAAACGAGAACTGTACGTTGCCATTGAAGTTTTATAATTTATTCACAAGACAGCAATTTACCCCATGGCAAAAGCCGTTATTATTTGTTCAGCCAGAGAAATCCTTTTACTTAAACAGGTTTGGCAAATAAAAAATATGAAAAAACAATGACAATAAAAAAATGAGAATACATATCAACAATGCAAGGCGACGTGTACAGAATGCAGCCCCCCACACACAATCCAGCTACACAAACAGGGCACGCAAAAGACACCGAACTAAAAATGTGGAGAGGACACAAGAGTGTTGAAAGGAGGAAAGGATATGTAATAAGTAAAATGATCCAAAAAAGCCGACATTAGATTATTTCAAACGTAAAAAGAAGAATGCTTGTAATAAGTCACATGCTTTTACCTCAGTTGTGACATTGTAGAGGCTAATGTGAGCAGAATTTGATGCAATAGCAAATTTAAAATTATACTGATATAAACAGTTTAAAATAACGTAATGGAATTTTAAATAAACATACACATTACTGACAGATGTCAAAAACTAAAAAAAAAAACCTATAAAAACAAGTTCCGCCTTTATGTTCTCAACTTTTTAGAATAATGTTGCGTTGTTTGTGTATTTGTAAAAAGAAAAAGGTAATTTCATACTCAAAAAAACCTTGCCATTATAATTTTCTTTGACATATACGCAAGTGTTTAGAATTTAATAATATTTGCCTTAGCGATGTAGAAATTTTGAGTCTCCAACATGTAGCCAGCCATTTTACCTATTTTGACGGTTCGGTTGTTATCGCACATGACATTTGCTATAAGTGAATCAATCTGTTCCGTGTTTTCTTATGACTGTGAAGTAGTTTTGGGAATGTTGGTTCATAAATGTCTGTTTTTCAGAGTGGCGGCGTGGCCGAGTGGAGAACGCGTCGAAATAGTAATATAAGAATTGCTGACTTTGTGGTTTCAAACCCTGTCAGGGGCAAGCCGTTGTTTCCTTGAACAAGAAACTTTACATTTATTGCTTAGTACTGGTTTGTTCCAGGAACGAACTTAAGAGTGTTTCAATAAGCTTATAGCTTCCAACACAATCGAACTATAATAAATTTGTATAAACTAAACTAAATGTCTGTTTTATTAATTAAAGAAAACATTGTAACTTTATATCAATTACTCATTAAAATTAAATTTATAAATTTTGATATCCTCAACTTTTTGGATAATTATTATGCTGAAATGTTTGTTACCGTAAATGTATATATGTTCATTTTATTATTGTATAATATATTTGTTACTGTAGATGTATGTATATTGATATAATTGTTAAACTATAGTTTTTAAAAGCTATTTTTAATATAAAAAAGTCTTTCAATTCTATTGACATAATTATGACAAATCAATTACTGATAATGTACATTTTACTATAACCGGTTTTGGTGAAATATATATAAAAATTGATCCATCAATAAGTTTTAATAATATAATTTTCTTAAAAATACATCTTGTTCATCCAACGATCTAAGAAGATTTTTCGTTCAAGATATTTAAGTGTTCTTTAGTCTACGTACTATTTGATAAAAACGTTGTTACTTAAGTTTGAAAAATCATTTAGTGGTAATTTTTGGCAATTTATTCACCAAATCACTTTATATTCTCAAATAGATGTCATTAAAATGGAAACATTATATCTACAAATATTCCAAATAATAGACAAATTGGTATACTTTTGCAATGTATTAACTTTAAAACAGATGAACAAGTTCTTGTTTGAACAAACAAGAACACAACATTAACACTGCTATAACTATCATTTATTCAAACGTTAACAATGTCAGTTGCTTTGCATTTAATTTAGTTAGTTATAAAATCGTAAAGCTATATAAACTTTGAACATAAAAGAGCAAAACAAATATACTACATTTTTCTGTGACAAAAATAAATATCTTGTATCCAAATTTCGTAGAAGAACTTAAGTTTCTAAATCCACCAATGCCGTTGATGTTTTTGCACCTTCCTTCTACCAATCGGTTATAAAGAGTTAATAGCAAAATATTCATAGACATGAAAAAAACTTCTGTAATAAGATAACGACGTATTAATTTCCGAGGAAGCAAAAAGGATTTACAATACCCTGACATTCAATATGTCATTTGCGTCAGGAGCTTACATTGTATACAGACAAAAAAGATTAAATTACCAGATGGTGCTCAGCAAAGTAGGCGATACAAAACAAAGCGTTTTCCCTTATTTGGTCACTTGGAGAAAATGAGTAAATAAAAAATAGAGAAATATAATTAAAAAAAAATAATATTTTTAAAAAGCATAAATATACTTTAATGGTCGTGGGCGAAAAGAAATTGAATATTGTATACAAAAATAGATGTCGTAACAAATTATCATAATCAAGAAGTTAGAAATGTATTCGAAGTTTTTAAAGTCATGTAAAATACCCTTGTAGATAAGAATTCTGACTAAAATCCCATTTTCTTACTTGCCACTTAGATAAAAATCGTTACAAGTATTTATAAATCAAAAACAATTTTAATTATTAACTTTTTTCTGTTTGTAAATGCATTCAGTTTTTTGATAAATCTATATAATCTAAAGGAGATTTTGTACTTATGAAAATATATAAAGATATATACATACCTTTCAACACATAATGCCAGTAAGGTCATAACAGAAGAGTATAGAGCGCAAACTAAGACTGATCTTTGCACTTTGCACATCATTGGGCCTAGAAGCCAGCCCTTATTAATCATAAACTGAACAATTTCTGGTATACCAAACAACAATATTAGAAGATCGGCCACGGCAAGATTTACAATTAACATATTTGTCATAGATAGTCTCATTTTTGCATCGCTAAAAACGATATATACTAAAAGTATATTTCCAGTGATTCCGACAATGCCTATAACAAAGAACATTGTAGAAAAACTGGCAATTTCAGCAGTGGTCACATTTTCCGGTCCCGGCATTGGTCCCATGCTTTCAAATCCGGTATCATTAAGAATATCAGATGTTGTGTTTTCCATTTTATCCTGTAGATACGACATGAAAACCCAAATATGATTATAACAACATTTGTAAGTACTATTTAAAACGCAATTATTTGTATTTAATTGTAATTGTCCCAGACAAAAACCAAAAGATTTGTATTTGTAATTATTTCTAGATTTTGGCAAGTGAGCGAAAAAAAATGGTTTAACACTAAGACGGATGAAAGCCTGTATTCACATATTGTTATTGTTTTCCTAAATAAACACCATATTTATCCAAACTCCTCATTACTATTATATTTACCGAGCGGCATTAAAATGATTCTCCATAATCACGTTCTCATTTTATATCTACTTGAATTCCTTTTATAATTATATTTGACACGCTTCTATAGTCAGCATTCTGTTAATAAAATATTTATCTTAACATCCCAGGAAAAATAAGCAACGTCTTTATTACTAATACCTAAGTTGAAATATAAACGTTGAATTAAGACATCGATAAATTCTATTCATCCTATTAGCTTAAGGATTTCTCCTTATTTGTCAAATAGCATCATTCGGAGGACTTATGTAGCATTCAAGCTTCTGCTTTATCCAATACTGTAGTTGCCCGCCTATCACATACTTTATAGTGTCGTCGGGATTTCCCAAGCTGTTAAAAGCGGTGCGCTTTAATAACGCTAACACGCACATGTCATTTCCCCTTCCATTATACACGGGCCACGGTTTACGGAAATCACATTTGGCGGATTACAAGATGACGATGGAACGCCTGGTGAAATCAATCTAGACACAACCTCTCATGATTATTGATGTATATTCCATTAAAAAACACACTGATATGTACAATATCACTTTATTTTTTTATACATTGAATTACACACAATAAAAAACGAAGGGAATTGAAGAGAAACGGTTGTCAGAATTCAATTAAACAACTAAGTTAAATATTTTGATAAGATTTTTTTTTCTTTCCTGGAAGTGACAATTTAATATCAACTATTTTACCCACTTTTTTGCTACAGTAACTGTAGAACAGATGTAATAAACTGTGTTCTTGACCTTTTCATATTTGTTTCCCTTTTTTTGCACATTTTGAACAACGTGTTAAGTTTTGGAAATACATATCAATTCAAAGTGTATTGTTTAAGAATAATGCACGGTTCGAGTTCAAATGCGTAGGAATATAATAACGAAGGCCGTTTATTACAAAGCCTTTGTATTATAATGCTAGAAGAATCTAACATGCTAATAAAAACGAGAATTGATAAAAATATTGTTATACTACATTGAGCGTGAAGGTAATTTTTCTAACGTTAAATGACGTGTAAGCACGTAATTTGTCGTGATTTATAGTAAGCGACTATTACAGCAAACATTGTTTTAAATTGATCAAATATGCGACTTTCACTTCAGCCAAATAAGTATTCAATACATACTGTAAGCAGAGTTTTTATATGTGTGTGTTAATATTTCTACAACGAATAAAGAGCAGCTACTTTAAGTAAATTAAACAAAATATACCGTCACTTCCGTAAATACTCGCTGATAACGCGTTGTGGAGCCGATAACAGAGAAACGCGTGTTTTATATCGCATTTAAATTTTACTTTACTTCAATGTGCTATTTTCTATTGTAATTAGTAATTTATGGCTTTCAAAATTCGATTTGAGTTCACTTATCTAATACCCAATGTAGTCACAACACCAATACTTTCACATTACTAAGATGGGTAATTCAATGAATGATTATTAGTGAAAATACGACGTGGTATTGTCTGACAAATTATCCACGATAAGAACCGAGAAATGAAAAATTATGTCTCTGGGGAATCAGTATCTCTTACTTTTTGTCTACTCATTTTTACGCAAACAGAGCAAAGAAAAGACGAAATATCGAGATCCTTATCTCCTGATTTTACGACAATACTTTCCGAACGCAAAATAGCGGGAATGGAACATGAAATGGAACTGCTTGAATAAAAGGTTTTTTTTTCATTCATTCATTCATTCATTCATTCATTCATTCATTCATTCATTCATTCATTCATTCATTCATTCATTCATTCATCCATCCATCCATCCATCCATCCATTCATCAATCTTTATTTATTAATTTTGTTTTTATTCAATTTTTGTCTTATTACTATATTAATTTTATGTTTTTGGTAGTTGGTAGTTTGATCATCAAAACAGAGGCTGGGTGCTATTTAACATATTAATTCGCAAATGAATATATATTTTAGCTTGTTCTGTCACGTTAATGAAAGTGGGAAATATATATCTAAACATTAATTTAAAACACTTATTTGAATATGCCTTAGCTTTCGGCCTTTCGGCATTCTTCCGTAGCATTTATTATACATACACATACATTGTATAATCAGAGAAAACAAGGGAAGAAACATAGCGTCACTGAGCAACGCCCGCCGTGGAGTTAGGTGCCGTGTGTCGTCTGCTGTCGTTTTGATGCGAAAAGAAATAACCACTCAAGCCTACGGCCTTCGTGGTCAATTCATACGCATCAAAACTCCAAACTGGTGTTAAATAGCCGATAAACACCGCTAAGACCGATGTTATTTCTGAAGTATTTACTCCATATGGTCTATATGTTCTTAACTTATTTTTCCACAAATTTTCTATTGTCTTCCGGTATTGGTCAGTCCCGAATAGTTTTCTAGCCCCATAATCGAAAAATCACTGACTGTGTGCCCGTATAAAAATGCGCCGCTACAGGATCGTTGTACGTTGGTCCGTATTCTTGATAAGTTGAGAAGATGTTTTTAATTATATTTATAATAGAAATATTAGAAATTTTATCTAAAAATGTTTACATAGATTTTCATTGAATTGTTAAGGAATGTTCATTAAACAAGGAACGGATATTAATAAATTGATAAGTATTGTAATTTTTAATTTGTTAGGATAGTAAAGTCATTCACATTGTTAGTTTTAGTTAATATTTTTTTTGTTGTTGTGTGTGTTGTTGTTTTTTTTCTTTGGTGTTTTTGTTTTTCAAATTTATTGCAATACAAGATATCAGACTTTACCCTCCGGAAAATATGACGGATCTCACGTTATCTAATCTAATCAGCCGACATAGCGATCGATCTTTGAGGACAAATTGTAGAAGGTCTCTATTATTTCTGTTACAGGTTTGGGCAAAATTAATTATGCTTTGCAGAATATTTTGATGAGAATTATCAAATCTATATATTTATTTTAAAACTAAATAGCTTGGTACACTTTATATGCTACCAATTAAACATAATAAATAAGGCTTGAAGAGAAAATTTCAAAAGCACGTAATTAACTTAAAATGAATCAGCGTTACTTTTATGTGCTTGCTATTACAATTATCAAACGCTATTTTTATTTATTCAGTAAATGCCAGCGACGTTATACATGTAGAATAAACAGTAGAGGAAAGCTAGCAACTCTTAAATCTTTAAATATCCGGATGTGCAGCTGCAACTGCATTTGTTTTAAGAGATCTCCTGTGGGGATATTTGTCTTGTAGGAGAGAGACAACCACTAATCTTAGAAAAAACGTTCTAAAGAATGGCAAATTCAATAAATACAGTTGTTTTAGATGACTGACATTTGAATATCTTCATAACGTAGCTTAACATTATTTTAAGACGATTTGAAATGTAGGAAATTTATAATTACAGTTTAGGCATACACTAGTGAAAGTTTAAACAAATATTGCACCAGCCGTTTTGCTTGGAATACCCCATAAAGTATATTTCTATTACTTTGTACACAAATATGTACACAGACGATTATTTTCAAAACGATTTTTAAATCTCTTTATTGTCTCGTATTATGCATCTACGTTTTACACTTACATCTTCTTCAATATAATGAAAACGTTTAACACTTATAACTTCTTCTATATAATAAATAGTGGTATTGCTGCTTTCACGGATATTTATTTACACCCTCCTGCACACTTGATATTCATATAACCAGAAACAGATGATTTCTAATTGGATTAATGTGAGAAATCAAATAGTCTCCGTGTAGATCACGAGACCCACAAACAGACCCACTGGCTTAACTGTTCATGCAAATGTCTAGACATTCAATTAATATGAACCCATTGGCAAAGACCAGAGCTTATCATATCAGTTAATGTTATTTAATGTTAGTTTTTGAATTGGTGAGCCATGTGTTAAACATAAAAGAACCTCACAGCCATATTGCAGTGTGCCTATTAAAAGTATTACACAAATATGCGTCATTCTGTTGTAAATAATTAAATCATCAAACCTTCCTAATTGAACATATGGTCATTTCTGCCAATTGAAAAAGACAAAAGAAATCTTGCATCAATTGGATTTTTTGTAAACTTATGTAGCAGTTCTTATTAGTTTATTAGAATATATCTCTTTTAATTAGACAAACAAGATTGTTACGTACATTTTTCTGTTAATGTTACAAAATCTAGTTCTGACGTGTTAGTTTATTTTTTTTGTCTACAATACCTAAAAGCATTTATGAGATTAAGTAAAACGTGTCAATACATAAATGTCTGCTTTTTTCTCTCTCTATTTTAATCTTTGAGTTAATATATTTTATGCAATAATTATGTCAATAAAAATAAGAAGTCTACATTTGCTTGCAGAATAATAATAGGTCGGACATGGTCATGGCATTAAGTAATTTATAAATATCTAAAGGATTCTATTACATTAATCAAATGGTATGCTAATACATGGATTTGTTTTCTAGGTTGTTAAGTTCGAGAATGAGTGACACATATTTCGCTAAATTTGGCTGAATTTTTATGCAGAATATAAAATTAAGTACAATTATGAATATATATATTGATTGATATAAATCATCAAAAGGTATAAGTACCTCAGAAAACATTGTTATTTCAACAAGAGCTGTCCGTAAGACTGCATGTGCTTGTCAGTAAGAATCGGGACCTTACTCTGTAAAAAAGAAATTTAAAGTTATCGGACATGTGTTCATCATGTCACATAATGACAAAAACAAGGGTGTAAAAATTCCATCATCTCCTTCTGTAGTTTTTGAAATACCAACTTGCACGCACAGACTTAACAAAAGTGTGTCGGCGAAGCCGACCCCGACGCCGGGGTGAGTACAATAGCTAAGATATTCTTGGTAAAGCCGATCTTAAACACAATTATAATTTCTTTCTTATGGAATATAAAGCGTGTATTAATTCAAATCTACTTCACGTTTTCAGAAATATAAGAATAATGTTGCAAAGGAGACATAAGGTTAGAAATATGAAAAACCATTTACATTATTTGTCAAATTTATTTTAGATTATGTTCCAAAGGCGTCTTCAGGAGACTGAGTTTTATTTCTTTTTAGTTTCTAGATATTAAGCCTGAACGAATATAAATAACCTTTTAAATGCCCGAAAAAGAAAACGGCCGTGATAAATAAACACATGATGTTGCTAGATTAAATAATTCACTTTGATTTGGAATTACCCTTTATCTTCCACACCTTCTCGTCAAGATTACTCGAGTTTCGTATTTTGTGAGATAACAGGAAAATGTCATTACTTATACATGTATTTGCAATAAAAATAAGTAAGTAAGTACGTTACGAGTCTACACATTCGGTTACCCAATCTTTCACGTGGGCCTCAAAATGGATTCAACGCCTATTTCAAAACAACATTTGCATTCATGTTTTAGAAAATGTTAGATTAGGGGTGTCTTGTTTTCTTTGCTTTCATGGTATAATAATTTTTTTTTCGGAAGATAAGAACGTAGACATCATTTTCGTGGAATTATAATGAGATAAAATACATGTTATTATGAGTTGCATTAACTCAATATTTTCTTGCCCTCAAAATTGTTCAAAAGTAACAGAAAGATTTATTAGCAAAGATGTGCACTATGACTTTCATTGCAAATGATTTATTACTTTATAAACATGTTATAAAAGATGACAAAAGTATTTTGTATCATTTTCTGAAAAAACGAATGCTTTGTTTTTAATATAGCATGTTAGATTATTGATACCTTGCCAACGAAAGCGAGAATGACATAAAATCACAAAGAATTCAAATAACCTGCCTTGACTTTGGTGGACTACAGGACACATTCAAGCATTCCCTAAACATCTTTAAATATTCCCCCTAAATAATAGTAAACAAAAGACACAAAAATAACTGTTTTGTTTTTAAACATTTGTACGAGTAAATTCCATGATGAATACATTTTTTACGATATGTTCCTTTGATTCTCATCTTAACTCTTTGAAGTGTGTAGCGCATGCTTGTAAATTAACGTTACCTTTTAATTCTATATAATAAATAATATTGAAATAATTATATTAATAAACCAAGTAAAAGTATGACATCAAAGAGAATAGACATAATATATAATGCTTCCGACATATCCCAAAGACATTACTCTTATTTTAATTCCTTAGACCATATGAAATCAGGAAAAATGTAAGAGCAATAGGTCTGTCGACGTAAATTAAAACCAGGGCTGGTGTGTCTTATGGAGGTAACATTTTGTCTGATACATTGCAGACATGATTCATAAAAATGATAGATTATAACACTAACGATGTTATAAGTGAATGGTCGTCAATAAACCAAAACCGATATGAGCTTGTATCTCTTTTGACGTCAAAATTGTATCTTTTCATAAACAAATCAATGGACTTAGATTATTGAAAAATTTGAATTGCTGTATATAGCAATCTTATTCAAAATCTAATCTAAACCTAATTATAAAACTTATCAGTACAACTTGCGTTTACGTTGTTCCAATAACTATAACATGTAATAGAAAGAGCATCGAAATCCGAGGCTATCTGGTTTGTACGAGGGAGCGTAGTCCCAGAGTATTAATCAGATTGCCGGGTGTTTGATGTTCTTTCTCTTTTGTATCATAGTCACACATTCCCTGTTGTCCATGGAAAAGTAACCAATGAATCAGCATCTTAATATGATATGTCTATCGCTTTCCCTTTCTCGTCCGTCACAATAAGTGAACCCCAGGAAAAATAAGCCAATCAAGGGGCATGCTCTGTTGTGAGGGAAACTAATATCTGCACTCCAGTTACCGCACTGTGCATGTTTAACTCTGTCACATTTTCCCAAGAAAGGTCCCAAAACTATGATCATTCAAAAAGTGGATATAATATGTATATCTTGCAATTCGCTTAGAGTGACAAAACGTAATACATTGTACATGTACCAGCAATTAAATGACGATGAAAATTAAATTCATCTGTTTAAATATTATTGCTACAGTATACATTTTTAGATAATAATATTTGTTTAATTGATTTATAAGAGTAAATTTCCGTTAACCGATCTTTACTTAGAATCATGAAATTATCAAATTACGTTTTTACTACAATACAATTAAATTATTATTTCAATTCAAAATATTTATTTCAATAAAATACAAAATTACATGTTACTTATTTTAAGATAAAATAATATTTCAATCCGTAGAAATATTTTCAACAACAAAAATGGAATAAAGTGGTACAAAGAGTATTTATTATATCAGTAAACTAGTTTGAATAAAATACAATAAAAATACAAAACAGCAATATAAACATACCAGCTTTGTATAACACAACAATAAATAATTAAGTATTGGTAGAGTCCTTACTTATATTTGATTAATTATTATTTTACTTTATTTTTTATTATTATATAATACATTTACTTGAATGTATAAATTGCAGGGGTTGTATTCCATGAAAGTCACTCTTCCTTATTTTTCTCAAATACAATGCTTTTTATAGTAACTCATTAAGTTATTGTAAATAAAGGATGATACAGAAAACAAACATGTTCTGCATATTTATCAAATGTCTGGCATTATTTGAAAAAGATTACTCCTACGACTTGTAGCATAATGTCCACTACGAAACAGTTATATCAAAAGGTTCATTATTTAATGGACCAGCTACTCTGTTTCTGGGCATACATTTACACATCAGTTTTGCATTTGTAGCTAGTTTAAATTATGTGATACGAGGAGTATTCAATAATTAGTGTCGGGGCTATAGTAAAATGAAAACTTTTAAAGCAACTACCATTTTTATTTTTTTTAAACCTTTAAAGTAATCTCCTTTGAACAGTATACAAAGTTTCAAACGTTTGATCCAATTTTGAAATGCTTTTTTATAGTCTTCTTGAGGTATACCCCTACACAACTGATGTAATGCTGAACCAAGTCCATTTCTGGTGCTGTAACGGCGACCATGAAGGTGTTTCTTTAATCTTGGAAACAGGAAGAAATCCCAGGGTGCCAAATCTGGCGAGTATGGTGGGTGATTAAGCACAGTTACACGTTTGCTCTCCAAGAATTTCTTAACAATGTCTGCCTTGTGTGGAGTAGCGTTGTCATGGAGTAGATACAAACCTCTCATACCAGTATTTGGACGACGTTTGCGATAATATTTGTCAACTTTGTTTAACACTATTCGTTTGTAAAACTTTGCAGTAACGATACGACCTTTTGGAATAGGAACTTGTGTCACTACACCATGTATACCAAAGAACATGGCATACATAACCTTCTTTGTGCTAGTCATTCTTTTAGCTACACAGGGCCTACGGGTATGTTTGCTGGCCCATATCTTATTATTTACCTTCCGTGTGGGCTCAAAAAAGTGTAACCAGCTTTCGTCTCCAGTTACAATGTTAGAAAATTTACGATCGTTATAGTTGGGAAACATCTTCAATAATTTCTTGGCACATTTTACACGCTCTTGCTTTTGCTTTTCAGTTAATAAATGTGGTATCCATCTGGCTGCAATCTTCTTAACTTTGAGGTGCTTCTTTAGAATCGTAAATGTACTTCCCGTTGAAATGCCAGTATACTTAGCTATTTCAGAAACTGTATATCGAGCTTCTTTGTTTATGAGTTCTTGCACTTTTTTAATGTTGTTTTTGGTGACCACTATGTGTTTTCTTCCCCTACCACTAGCATCGTTTAGTGACTCCGTTCCACTTTTAAACTTAACAATCCATCTCTGAACTGTTCTTTCACTAACCACAGATGGTCCATAAATACGACAAAGTTCTTTATGAATGGCTGCACCACTTAACCCAAATGTCATACGCGCTTTGATGTAAGCTCGAATTTCAACATTATTTACTGAATCTTTTCCAGCCATTTTTTATACGCAGTTGATCGAATATTCAACTTTCAACACTAAATTTCTTACATAGTGTGTAAATTAGGATACATGTATGATACACCGTTGGAAAGATAAAGAGTTGAAGCGTGACATAATGTAACTTTGCACGTGATTCACGAAATATACTTAGAGAAAAATGAGGCCCGTCACTAAATATTGAATGCTCCTCGTATGTTATGTTGTATTGCAAAATTCGATATGTTTAAACCATTTCGCGTAGATTTAGAAATTGAAAGAATTTGTGACTGCATCTCATACATGTACCATAAAGAAGCTCCTGATTAAAGACAGTATGTCTGTTCGATAACTTCTTCAATAAAGAGTATAGTTATTCTAATTATCAACGTATTAAAAATGTTCATACACCTTTCGAGCCTTTTCAGTGTATTATTTTGCCAAAATTTACTTAGTGATTACAGTATAACTCGCTTTAAATGCTCGTTCCAAAAGCCTGGAATACGGGAGAAACCTTATACGCTAATATATAAGAATATGAGCTTTGCAAACATAAACTTTGTGATATTTGGATCCGTTGGTTTATTTACTAAACCCACTTAAAAAAAATGCTGTCGGACAATGTGTTAGTTTAAAATAACGACAAAAAGATTGATGTTTTTCACAAAATATGTTTTATCTCGCCTGAATTTCATTTTCGGGATCATTATCATATGCTTAAGGTGAGATAAATATTCTATAATAATTGTATATCGGTACTATCATAACACTTTTGCTCACGTGTACATGTTTTGACCATTGACCTTAGTTATATTTTTTATATATTTTTATTCAACTCTCTACATATTTTATCTGGCACCTAAAATGCTTGCCACTTTGGTCAAATATTGTTAAAGCGAGAACTATCTATACTACATTTAAATGCAAATGGCTTAGTTCCTCATGAAAAATGTTTGTACTGACTTTCATTACATCAGAGTTGATAAAGATTGCTTGTCATTTGTATTTAGCACGTTGTTGTTCAATTGAATATAAAACAGGACAAGAAATGTAAAATAATCTCAATAGGCTTGTACTGATTGTTACACGACCGTCAATCAGTACAAGTAATGAACACAAAAATCTTGATGAGAAATAAAATGAAAACCGCAAATCAATTTCATTGACTTAAATATAATAGGAAGCAGCTTCATTCTTCTATAAGAATCTACTTCTCAACCTATTTTTTCTCCGCAACGAGTCATTCAAATATGATTAAAGCTACACATTCCAGTTGAAAATAATATTTTCATACTATTATTGTCATTTCACAATTGTAATGTCAATCCTACGTGAGTGGATTATTACATTTATTACACAGACAGAACAAAAATGCATGTTCGAAATTTGACCATTCCTAACAATATATGTAATGTATAAGACCATACTAGATGTTTTTTTAGATTAAACAGAAACAATCTTTTGATAGAAAAAAGCCCCAAACCCCGAGCAGGGCCTTTAGAGGAATCGTGACGTTTGACTTGCGTCATAGGCATTGGTGCTATCAAAATATACAAAGCGAGTTACAAGAAAAAAGAAACATTAACAAATACTTACTCATATTATCAGTGATCCCATTTATTGCACAAAGCATTTTTTTGTGCTCAACTCAATATTACAATATATCAAATGCCAAATTGTACTAATTGGTAAACATAACAGATGTCACTGCCCCTAATTTATCGACATTGTGACATTGTGTAATTAACGTATTTAAAGCTTTTGTCTAAATCTGAGTTACATGTACTTTCATCTACTTCAAAACTTTATTTGCTATAATAGATAAGAAACGCTACTTCCATTTTTATGTTAATGCCAACGAATTTATAATCAAACAGTTACTGTAGAAGAAATGTAGCAACTTATAAACATTCAACCATCCAATGTGCAGTTGCAAATGCACTTGTTCTAAGAGATCCCCTGTGGCGATATTTCAATTGTCTTGTAAGAGAGAGACAACCACTAATCTTAGAAAAAAAGCGTTCTAAACATTTGCAAAAAATCAATGTTCTGAAGGTTATTACGAAGAAGCTTTATAACTGCCATTTCAATGTTTTGATTTCTTAAGTTAACAATATTTTTAGATGATTTGCTTGGTAGGAAAGGTATAATTACAGTGCAAGCATTCATCCGTGAAAGTTAGACAAAACAAATATTGCACCAGCTGTTTTGACATTAATAACGTAAAAGTATATTATTAATATAGTTTACACAAAAACTATTATTTTCAACATGATTTTTAAATGTTTTTATTGTCTGGTATTATTATTTCCGCTTCTATGTTTTACACTTCAAACGTCTTCTATATAATAATAAATGTTTCTTTTTTGACGAATATTTATGTACACTCTCTTTAAAACGCTATTAACCAGAAACAGATGATTTCTAATTGGATTAATGTTAGAAATCAAATAGTCTTCGTGTAGTATAATAGACCAACAAACAGATCCAATGCCTAACTTTTAATTCAAGTGTCTAGACATTCAATTAATATGAACCCATTGGCAAAGACCAGAGCTTATCATATCAGTTAATGTTATTTAATGTCAATTTTTGAATGAGTTAGCCATGTGTCAGATATAAAAGAGCCTCACAGACATATTGCATTGTTCCTATTAAATGTATTACACAAATATGCGTCATTCTGTTGGAAATAATAAAATCATCAAACCTTTTTAATTGAACATATGGTCATTTATACCTTTCCATTGTATCTGCCAATTAAAAAAAACATGCACCAAATTGTGGATTTTTTTTTTTGAAAAATTATGTAGCAGTTCTTATTAGTTTATTAGATTTATATCTCTTTCAATTTGACAAGCAAGATTGACGAATAGGATTGAATAATAATAGGGTATTAAGTAATTTATAAATATTTAAGATGATCTTACATTTATTCAAATGGTATGCTAATGCATGACTTTGTTTTCTAGGTTGTAAAGTACGAGAATGAGTGACACATATTTCGGTAAAATTGGTCGAAATTTAATGCAGAATGTACAATTAAGTACATTGTACAATTATGTACAATTATGAATATTCATTGATTGATAAAACATGGGTTTAAACATTCAATCATCCCCTTCTGTAGTTTTTGAAATACCAACTTGCACGCAAAAACTTAACAAAAGTGTGACGGCGAAGCGGACCCCGACACCGGAGTGAGTACAATAGCTGAAATAATCTTAGAAAAGTCGATCTTAAACACAATTATAATGTCTTATGGAATTTAAAGCGTACTTCACGTATTCAGAAATATAAGAATGATGATGCAAAGGAGACATTAAGGTTAGAAATAAGAAAAATCATTTAAATTATCTGTCACGCTTAGTTCAGATTATGCTCCAAAAAGGCGTATTCGAGAGACCGAGTTTTATTTCTTTTCACTCATTATATATTCATCCTGAACGAATATAAATAGCCTTCAATTTTTATTTGCCCGAAATAGAAAACGGTCGTGGTAAATAAACAGAATGATGTTGCTTCATAGAAGAGTTTTTCACTGATTTAGAATTACCCTTTTTATCTTCCGGACATTCTTTTTAAGATGACTCGAGTTTCGTATTTTTTTAGATAACAGGAAAGCCGTCATTACTTATTCTTAATAAAATGAATTCAACGCCTACTTTACATCAGCATTAGTATTCATGTTTTAGAAAAGGTTAGGTTTGGATGATTTGTTTCCTTTACTTTCATGGTATAATTTGAAACCTTTTCCATTTTCGGAAGATAAGGACGTAGACATCATTTCCATGGAACTACTATTATCTAAGATTAGATAAGTTAATTATGAACTGCATTAACTCAATATTTTGTTGGCGTCAAAATTGTTCAAAATGAACTAAAATATTTATAAGCAAATGCGTGCACTTTGGCTTTCATTGCTAATGATTTATTACTTTATAAACATGTTATGAAAGATAACGTAAGGATATTATATCATATTCTGAATAAATGAATATGTTGCTTTTAGAGTTACGTGTTAAATTATTGATATTCAGAGAAAGCGAGAATGACATGTAGTTAGACAGTCTTGATTTGAGCCTACAAATATCTGGAAAAATGTGACCCCTCGGAAACATTAACAACAGCAAAATTACATGAAAACTGCAGGCTTGGTTTATTCAAGTCTGAACATAAGGGATAACGAAAAAGTGCAAAATCCCTCAAGCCCCTAGCATCACATTCCCCTAAAATATATAGTCAACAAAAGATACAAAAACTGTTTTGTTCTGAAATATTTGTACAAGTAAATTCCTTTATGAATACAGATTTCTGGATCTTTTTTTATCCTTTTGATGCTCATCTTAACTCTTTGAAGTGTGTAGTACATGCTTGTAAATTAACGATACCTTTTAAATCTACACAATAAATTATATTGAAATAATAATATTAATAATCCAAGTCAAATAATGACATCAAAGAGACTACTTATTACATATATAACGCTTACGTCATATGCCAAAGAAATTACTTCTTAGATCTCATTTTACCTGGAAAAAACCTGAGGGCAATAGGTTTAATGACGTAAATTGAACCAGGACTATTCTCTCACTCACTTAATCGTGAGTAATATATATAATTCGGTTCTTTAATAATTATTAATTAACAATCTAACAATCTGCAGAGTAAAAGGTTTCCATCTAAATTCCTACTGATGTATCATTGACAGAATGTTTATTGCATAAAATTGATATTTCATTATAATAATTGTACCTTTTATGTCGGCATGGTCGAGTTGTTAATGTGTCGGACCATACTCGTATAATAATGTAATGATCGCTAGCCGCTTGGGTTCAAATCCTGTCAGTGGCAAGTCGTTGTTTCCTTGAGCAAGAAACTTTACAGTCATTGCTTAGTACTGAGTTGTTCAAGGAATTGATTCGAAAGTGTGTATATAACCTTCCTACACAATCGAACTAAATAAATTCTGTTTAAACAAATAAATGTATCTGATCACTGCCAATATTAAAGCAGTGCAC